GGCGGGGGGGGGACAGCCCTGCTCAGGGGGCTCCGTTCTGTCCAGGACACAGAGAGTAACAGACAGTTCAGACCCATCATGATTGGCTGTCACAGAGGGAACTATAGCGTGCTGTGGAGACAGAGAGAAAAGACCCTGTTAAGGAGGACTTCCTGGAGGAGGTGGCCACTGAATCAAATCTCAAACCCTCGGCATGTGCTGGCCAGAGAAATAAGGGACCACACAGTAGAAGAGGGAGTTTGTGGAAGGCAGGTGGCAAACAGGTCACGGTCTTTTGGGAAAAGCTCCTGGCTCAGTGTGACGGGCTGCACGTGGAAATCTGCAGCAGACAAGGCGGGAGAGGCAGGTGCGGGATGGCCGCAGCCGGCTCTGTGTTGAGAAGTGGAAGAGGGTGCTGCGAGTGGAAAGGGAGCTCTGACCGGCCTGCCGGTGCCGTCTCAGGGCCGTGCGTGCGTTAGCCTAGGACTGTTATAATCCCCATTCTACAGATGAGGAGGCTGGCCCGGGGTCACCTGCTAGCCAGCGGCAGGGCTGGGACCTGGAGCTCAGCGCCCTGCGGCCAGGGTGTGCTTCCTTCCTGCCGCCGTCTCCTCACCTGCAAAATGGGGATCCGTGCCCTTGGGCACCAGGATGGCCAGGGCACAGGCGCCCCTGAAGCCCTGGGGTACGGCAGGCGTGGGATCTCAGCCAGGGCCCCAGCTCCAGACCCTCATCAAAACAGCACTGGCGCCTGGTGGCCCTCGGGGTGGCACGCTGCACAGCGCTCCCTGCACCAGGTGGCACACGGGACGAAAGTTACAGGAAAACATCCAGCCAGGGCTTTGTCTGTATTGGACGCACTCACCTCTGGTACTGCGGCACCGGGGCCATAAACCGAGGGCGGGGAAGGGGAAGAAAAGCCTCTTTTGCCCCTTTGCTGAGCTCTGCATTAAAAGAGGGCCCTGAAGGCCCTGGCCAGTGTGGCTCAATGGTTAGAGCATCAGCCTGTGCACTGAGGGGCCACGGGTTTGATTCCCAGTCAAGGGCATGTACCTGGGTTGCAGGTTCGATCCCCGACCCTGGTCAGGGCGTGTGTGGGAGGCAACCCATAGATGTGTTTCTCTCGCATCGATGTTTCTCTCTTTGCCTCCCCCTCTTCCTCCCTCTGTCTCTAAAAATCAATGGAAAAAAATACCCTTGGGTGAGGAGTGACCAAAGAAGAGGGCCCTGGAGAATGTGGCTTATCCTTCCCGCCCCCACACTTTGGAGATGGGTTCCGTCACTAGGATTACGCGTGTGGCATCGCTGGCATTGGAGGAGGGGCTCTGACGCGTCGCTTTGCTTCCAGGACCTCTACGCGGCCTTCTTCAAGATGGACACGGACCGGGACGGCATCCTCAGCATGCAGGACATACACAGGCTGCTGGAGCGGCTCCTCTTCAACCTCAAGGACAGCGAGTTCGAGCGCCTCCTTGGCCTCCTGGGCTTGAGGCTGAGTGTCACGTTGAATTTTCGGGAATTTCGAAACCTGTTTGATACGACACTACCCCCAACAGACGACGCGCCTCAAAGACTCATCAGGTAAGGAGGCGGCGCGGCCCAGCGTCTGCGCAGGAACAGGTACACACACTACATATTTTTCTTTTTATAAATCTGGTGTCAGCGCTGCCGACGGCTCTGGGGGATGCAAGGAACCCATCCAGCCCTTTCCCAGGCCGGCCTTGCGCACAGCAAGGAGGAGGAGGGGCATCTGGACTCCTCTGTCCCCTCAGCCTTTCTCAGTGAGAGCACATGGCCCCTGGGTTGGTGATGGGCCCCCGTCTAAGCCGAGTGTCCGTCGGCTCCTGCTGGGATGTGCTGAACGCCGCCACGAATGAAGGGAGCGGCCGCTCACCCCTCCTTGAGCAGTTATCACGTGTATGTTAAGGTGTCTGCACTGTTGCCGTCCCCATGATGATACAAAGGAGTGTTTTCTGCACGGGGCGTTCTGCCCTTGAGACCCCGGTGGCCCCAGGGCCTCCAGACCCTTCTCTCTGCAAGGGCAGCCTCCCCGGAGGGGAGCCCCTAGGAGCTGCTGCCACAGACCACACTGTGATCCCCGGCGGGCTGCAGAAAGCCCTCCGATCTCACACTCTCACCCCCGGATGTGCTGGTTTCATTTGGCCAGTGCTGAAACAGCGAGCAGGGAAGACAGTGCCCAGTCTCCTCCTGAGCGGGGTGATCGTGGGCGCGTGAGCCGGCCCCGCTTCTGATTGCTCGGTTCTGAGAGGCGCTCACGTGAGCCCTGAGCGTCTAACATTGAAGCCGCACAACAGGTAGCCTTCGGAGGGGGCTTTCTGGGGAATGCCGGCAGTTCGAGCACCGAGCATTTCGAGCACCGAGCGCAATCTTCTCGCTCAGACGAGCCAGCCATCATGTGTACTCGTTCCCTCGTCAGATATTTAATGAGGGCTGAGTGTGTGCTAGACGGGGCCCCGGGACCGGTGGTGCAGAGTAAGACGAACATTCCCTTTGAGGAGCTCACCATTGAATGTAGGACAGGTGCAAGCATAGAGGCTACGCCCAAGTTCAGGGACGTCAGAAGTGCCACAGAGTAGAGGGGCAAAGCCTGCCAGAGGTGCACGGGAAAGGTGGGACATTTGAGTCGTGTCTTGAGGTGTGAGTAGGAGTTTTTCAGATACAGGCTACTGGAACAGTGGTTCGAGGCCAGGGAACAGCATTTGCAAAATCACAGGTGAGAGTGTTGAGCACATTCGGGAAATAGGTGGAGGATGGGTGGGCAGGAGCGGCATGGGTGCCAGGGTGTGGAGGCCTGGAGACAAGGAAGGCCTCAGTGAAGGGGCGGGAGTGCCGGGTTGAGGAGTTCTCCCCTTATCAGTGGCAGGAGAGGACTTGATGTTGTGGACTGAGGGGTGACATGGTGCTGTGGGAAGATCCTTGAGCAGCCCCAGAGTAGAGGGTGGACGTAAAGGAGAGGCTGGATCCTGGCGCGGACCTGGCTTGGGCTCCAAGGGTCTGGTGGAGAGAAGGCTCCTAGAGGCCAAGCAAGGTGCTGCTTTAGAAAGGCGAGCCCTTCCGTGGCCATACCCTATGCCTGTGCTTCATGAAGACGTATTCTTTAATACCCCAGCAGCCCTACAACGAAGCATCACTCTCTGACGTTCCAGATGGAGGAACTGGGGCCTAGAGAAAAGTTAACGACTTGCCCAGGCAGGCGGTGGCAGGGCAGGGGGTGAACCTGGGGTGCCTGTCGGAAGGAACTGCTTTCTCTGCCTAGAGACCTCACCCTCTTTCACTTCCCCAGCCTCTCCTCCACCAGCCAGGCCTGACTCGCCCCTTTCTGGAAGCCGTCTGCCCTCTCGGTTGGGCCCCTCTGCCCTCTGAGCCTTCACTTCCCACCTGCATCACCAGAACTACCATTTACCTTCCCCTGAAGAACTTCTTTAGCATGTCTTTTAGAGCAAGTCTGCTGGAGACAAATTGTCTTCATTTTCCTTCATTGAGAATATCATTATTTCTCCTTAATTTCTAACAGGTATTTTGCTATATATAGAATTCTGGGTTGACAATTCTTTTGTTTCAGCACTTTAAAAATGTTGTTCCACTGTCTTCCAGCTCCCACTGTTAGGGGTGAGAAATCTGCCATCATTCAAATGGTCTCTTGTGTATGTCCCGCACCCTTTTCTCTGGTTGTTTTTAAAACTTTTTTATTTACCTTTGATTTTCAGTAGTTTTGGTATGATGTAGTTTTTCTTTACCTTTGATTTTCAGTAGTTTTGGTATGATGTAGTTTTGGTATGATGTTTTTCTTTGAGTTTATCTTTTGGAGATTTAACTTCTCAAGTCTGTAAATTTATGTTTTTCACCAAATTTGGAGAGAGGTTACAGCTAGTATTTCCTCAAGTTAAAAAACAAATTTTGTACCAAGTTTGAAAGTTTTTCTATGCCAATCTCTTTCTCCTTTCCTTTTGGTATCCAAGGACATGAATGTTAGACCTTTTGATTTTGTATCACAGGTCCCAGTATCATGGGCCCAAGGCTATATTTTTTTTCTTCTGTTGATCAGATTGGGTTATTTCTATTCATCTAGTTTCACAGTCACTGACTCATTGCTCTGTCATCTCCATGCTGTCATTGAGCCAATCCAGTGAAAAAATTTTTACTTCAGTTGTATTTTTTAATAGTTTATTGATTTTTTATTCATTTTTAGAGAGAGGAAGGGGAAGGAGAGAGAGAAACATCAGTGCAAGAGCATAACATTGATGGGCTGCCTCCTGCATTCCCCCCCAACACACACATAGGGGATGAGTGCACAACCTGGGCATGTGCCCTTCACCGGGAACTGAACTGGCAACCTCCTGGTGCATGGGACGACGCCCAACCAATTGGACCACACCAGCCAGGGCTATTTCAGCTGTATTTTTATGGTCTGAAGTTTCCACTTGGCTCTTTTCTGTCTTTCCATTTATTTCAAGGACGTTTACTCTTCATGGTTATATAATAAGTGCTTTAAAATATGATCATTTCAACATCTTGGAGTTGGTGTCTGTTGTCTTTTACCTTGAAAATTGTTGGGATTTTCTTGGTTCTTTGTGCATTGAATAAGTTTGGATCGTATCATGGATGTTTTTCCTGTTAAAATCTTCAGTAGTTCGTGGATTCTTTTTTTTTAAGCGGTCGACCCATCCAGTTAGTTTCAGATTGTGAGTTCCAACCTGCCTTGTGTGGTTTCAGTGTCAGTCCAGTTTCCAAAGCCACTGAATCACCATCCGGCAAGCCCCTGTATGCAGCACGAGGGGCCAGTCTTAGCTACACAGCAGTCGTGTTCTCAGGTTTTTTGCTTTGCTAGTTGGGTTAATTTCACACCTGTGCACGTCAGAGGTAAACCTGGAACTTCCTGAATAGACTTGGGCATCCCTCTCCGCAGCGCTCTCTCTTTGCTTTCTCCCCACACTCTCTAGCCCCCAGGGACCCCCCAAGCCCATTTTAGGGGGGCCTTCTGTCTGGGAAATCTTGGGTGTTAGCCCATCCATGCTGTCATGTGCTTCCCATGACAGGGCCCACCTCCGGAGCACCTCGGAGAGAGAAAAAAGAAAGAAAAAGCGATAATGTGGGCTCCTCCAGCACTCCTGAGAGCCACAGGGACTGCGTTCCCCACTGCCTCAGGTTGCAGGGGAGATTTTCAGTTGTAGGTTCCGGTTTGGCCACGACAGTTGCTGGCACCACCACAAAAGTGCAGTTTTTAGCTGGGCTTGCCCTGGGTTAGGACTTGGAGAGTAAAAAGACATAAACAGGGGGGTTCCCCCACATCCTTTGTTCTGCAGGGGCCTCCTTCCTGGTTCTCTCTCTGAGCGCCCCCTTGCACAGCTCCGGTAGGCTTGCCCTGGACCCTGAGCTGGGAATATGGGAGGAAAAGAGCCATGGAGCTCACCCCACTGCGTCGGCCTCCCAGGGTTTACCTCTCAGTGTCCTCAGAGAGTTAGTTTCGTGTTCTGTCTCAGGTCCTTAGTTGTCGTCAGCGGGAGAGAGGGGTGACGTGTGTGTCTAATTCCTTCACCGGGACCGGAAGCCCAGCTCAGGACACTTGCCCTGCCCGGGGTGCTCCCTCCTCATCACACCTGCTTCCTCATCACACCTCAGGGAGCCTCTCCCTGGCCTTCATAGCTGAAGTGTCCCCTCCTGTCCACCATTCTCTGTCACGGTCAGCACCTGAGGTTATCTGAGTCGCCCATTTTTTATGTATTCGCTGTAAGCGTCCCGCCATCAGTGTGAGTCCTGGAGGACGTGGGCTCTGTCCACATGGCCCGTCACGATGTCTGAAGGACCGAGAGCAGCACAGGACACAGGTTTGTTTGTGTCTGTGACTTGCGGACTGGCTGATAGGACGTCTGCATCTGATGCCAGGACCTAAAGATCCAGGCGGTAGAAGAAGAAATAAATACCTTCTGGAAAAGGCTGTAGAGAGACCTCCCAACTCTCTAGAGGAGACAAGCATATAAAACGGGGAGAAGGTGAGATGGGTGGGAAAGTCAGTAGGGTCCCTGTTGGAGCATGGGCCACGAAGCAAACCCAGCCTGGCCTGGAAGAGACAGTGGGCTGGTGAGGCTGCTTGGATGTGCACTGAGATGGTGAGGGCAGGGTGTGTGCCCTGAGGGGGCGAGGGCAGGGTGGGTGCCTGACTCTGCTGCCCAGGGCCTCCATGAGGACACGCAGGGGGCGTCCAGGGGAGTCCTCTGGGTGCAGGTGCAGTTTAGGAGCCTCCAGGTGAAGGCCAGGGAACATGCACCTTTAGGACTCACAGTCCTTGTGAGCATTTGTTGTGAAAATGCAGCGTCATCCCGCCAGGTGTCCAAAGCCCTGGGCGCGAAGTGGCGATAGCGAGTTAGAATGGCTGGCCTCCAGGTCCCTGCCCGCCCGTGGAATTCTGTGACTCTGAAGTCCGGTAGGCAGTTGGGAGAGATGAAACGGAAAAGCAGGTGAGCTTGTAGTCCTCGTGGTCCAGATGTGCGGGTAACCAGCATTGAGGTGGCCATGGGACTGTCAGAGGGGTGACCTCTCAGAAGAGTAAATAAACTTCAGGTGGAAGGAGAGAGAAGGCCAAGGGTTGGGCAGCCAGGACAGAGGGGAAATCACACTGACCGAGGCCCGGCCCGGTGTTCCAACCCACGGTGGCATTTAAAGAGCAGCATCCTGAAGGTGAGGAGGGTGGAGAGATGGTTCAAGTGCCATATGCCCTGGGGAAGTTGGCAGAGATCCCCGCATTCAGCAATATGGAAGAAATGGTGAATTTCAAGACTGGAGAGGGTCTTGGTGAAGGGAGGTACCAGCCATAATTGACCTGTCACCCCTCAAGCTGGCACCTGCCCAGAGAGAAAACTAAGCTAGGTGGGTTCTCATTTGGTCCATGTCAGCAGTAACAGGGAACAGGGAGGGGACCCCACCTCGTCTCAGCTGATCCCCAGTGCCTGCAAATGGAGAAAATGCAAGAATTTTTGTTCACTGAAATGTGGAGTTTACATAATTCATCAAAGAAGCGCGGCTTTGATAAGACCCTTTCTGTGTGACGCACAGCTCAATAGCACAGGGTGGGTTTCTGGGATGATGGTGTCACCATGGGCCTGGTGAGCCCTGGGAGCTGGGCACTGTCGGTCACCAGGGTGTGGGAGGTGGACAGGGCAGCTGTCGGAGAGCAGCGGAGCGTCTCAGACGGGACTGGAAGGAGAGGCCAGATGCGGAGCAGTATCCCTGCTGAGTTTGTTGATCCTGGCTCACCGCCTGCTTTGAAAGGTATACGGTGGTGGGACGTCCAGGAGCCGTCTCGCGTAGGCGGGAGCTGCAGGCCTCACTCCTCCAGGACCGGCCCAGTGCCGGCCCTCCAGGTCCCCGGCGGTGCCGCCCCTATTGCCTTAGGCGGGATGCGGAGTGTATGAGGCTGCCCAGCGAGTGCCAACCCACCCGCCCCGCGAAGTATAAGGTTCGATGGCTCTCCTCCTGGGAGGAGTGACACTGAAGGGGACACCAAAGCCATAGTTTCAGATAAAAAGGGAAACGGTGGTGAGAAAGGCTGGCTGGGCATTGGGGGACCTGGAGCCGGGACGCCGGGATGCTGGCACTGCCTGCGATTTCCGCAGCGCTCAGCCTCCTCTCCGCAGAGGGGTCGGCAACGCCAGCGCTGCGCTGCCAACTCGGACGCTGCGGGCCCAGTGCCTGGACCCCCTGGCCGTGGAGTTTGTGGTCACCGTCACTCTGGACACCCGAGGTGCTCCTGGCCCGTGTGTCACAGGCAGAGGGTAACAGTCACAGCAGCACTGCCCCAAGGGTCACACGGCCCTTGTCCCCCGTGGCTTGGGGCACATGGACCTCTGTCCCCGCGGTGTGAGGCACACGGACCTGTGTCCCCCGCGGCGTGAGGCACACGGACCTCTGTCCCCCGCGGCGTGAGGCACACGGACCTCTGTCCCCCGCGGCGTGGGGCACACGGACCTCTGTCCCCCGCGGCGTGGGGCACACGCATTCCTGCATGTTCTCAACTAGCAGCACGTGGGGCCTGTTTGCTGCCTCCTCGCGCCCCAGGTTTTCCAGGGTCCCTTATGGGAAAATTCACACGAGGGTCTCCATGGGACCTGGGTCGGGCGCCCTCCTGTTCACCTAGACAAGGTGCCCGTGGGTGCGCGTGTAGGCTCCAGGCAGGCGCGCACTGGGTCCCGTGTCGGAGCTGCCGGGCGACGCGTGCGCAGAGGCCTTGCCGCAGGACTGTGCTGCGGGCTCGTACCCACAGGGAAGGCACTGCGGGCGCAGGCCTGGGCGTACAGAAGCTCGGGTCCTGAAAACAGAGCGACAGGCGCTGCTGGGAGCCAGTCGTGAAGGTGCGACAGGCTTCACGCCCCTAACTGCTTTGGAGGAGAGGGAGAAGCCGGGGTGCCCGCCTTCCTCCAGCCACGGCCTTCGCTGTGCCCCACCCTGGCGCCGAGGCTGCGCGCCGGCCCTTCTCCGTCTCCGTGCTGGTCCCCCTGGGAGTAAATAAGCAGGATTGGGTGGCTCAGCCTCCAGCCTAACCCCGGGACCTCGGCCGGACAGCAGCCTGTGGGGAGCGCCCCCGGTCCCGGGCTGTCCGCCTCCGTCCGCGTTGTCGCTGCCGCCCGTGAGCCCGGAAATGAGAGTCTCCGGTTGCCTCTTCCGAAGCGCTCACTGTCCCCTTGTTTTCCCTGCGAGAATAAATGAGCCCTGTCTGTTCTGTGAGCTGCAGGAAAAGTTTCACAGCACTTGTCTGAAAATAAACAAGGACTTGTCAAGTTCGGGGAGACTCCCCTCGAGACAGGACGTGTGTCAGGGACTAAGTGGGGCCAGATGGGAGGTAACAGACTGTGAGGTGTCTTCGGGGGTCGGGCTGCCCTCGGGAGGTTAATGAGCCCATTACACTTCAACACGGCCATTCATTTATGTATTTACTTTTCCTTTAAGAACGAAACATAAGGTCGCGGATTCAGAACTAGCCTGCGAACAGGCTCATCAGTACCTTGTCACCAAAGCAAAGACCAGGTGGTCGGACTTGTCTAAGGTAAGAAAACGGTTGTCTCCTCGGAAGGAAAGGGACTCCCTCAGTGTCCCCGGTCACTGGGGCCACCCCGCGCTCGGGTCGGGTTCAGAGACGGGAGGATAGCGTGTCCGCCCGATGCGGGGCTCCTTGTCGTCTGAACTCGGGTTCGAAACAGGTTTCTCACCTTCAAGGTCAGAAAAGCAGGTAATGGTGGGCGTCACACAGAGGAATCCCTGGCTCACCTCGGGCTCGGTATGAATTAAAAACTTAAAAATGTAAGACGCGGTCATACTTATTTTCACACAGTTACAAACACGCGTTTTAAAAAGGCATTTCCCCCTGTGTTGCGCAGACGGCAGAAAGCGCGTTCGGAAGGTGACCCCTCCCTGGGTGGGGAGGGAAGCCGTGTAACGATGACGGCGACCCCAGGCTCAGGCCACCGCTTGTAGCGCAGCACACTGACCGCCCTTGGAAGAGCATCCTTTAAACTCCGTTACAGGATGTCCGCGTGGTTTTGAAGAACGCCCCCCCCCCCC